ATGGGGCTTGAACTCCAGGCCTGGGTACTGTCCCTGACCTCTTTTTGTTCAAAGCTAATCTTCTATCAGCCATAGCACTACTTCTGGGTTTCTGGTGGTTACCTAGAGATAAGAGTGTCAAGGTAGCCAGTTGCGGTAGCTTACACTGCTAATCCTAGCTACTAAGGAGGCTGAGATCTGAGGATCATGGTTCAAAGCCAGCCCAGGCAGGAAAGTCTGTGAGACTCTTATCTCCAACAAACCACCAGAAAACCAGAAGTGGTGTTGTGGCATAAGTGGTAGAGCACTAGCCTTGAGCTGAAGAGCTAAGGGACAGTGCCTAGGCCCAGAGTTCAGGCCCCACAACTGACCAAAAACAAAAAAAAAAGCCAACAGTGAAAAATACTCAATATCCTTATCTATCAGGAAAGTGTAAATCAAAACTGCAATGAGACATCAACTCACCTCTATCTGAATGCCTATTAAAAAAGGAACAATATAGAAAATGCCTAGCAATTACTGGACAAAAAACTTGACCCATTATTAATTACTGGTAATAATGTGAAATAGACTAGCCACTATGAAAATGAAATTTCCTCATTTTCCTCCTTTTGGAGTATCCTCCGAAAGGAAAATGGAAATTCCTTGTGATCCTGCTATGATACTAGTGTAAACATGTACCAAAAGAATCACTGTTAGTTTACTACAGCAATATTCACACATACCTGTTGGTCATGGAATTATTCAAAATACCCAAAGTATGAAATCAACCTAGGAACCCACCAACAGATCATAGGGGCAAAACCTGTACTTCTCACATGGAAAAAGTAGACAAATTCTCAAACTTGCTTTGTTTTGGATCAAGAAGAATATGTATCAGAGAACATTCAGTTCCTTGAGTGGACATGCAAATCCTGTTCTTCTTTCCTGACCTTTTCCAGAGCGTGGAGATTATAGCTCTGGTTATTCACTAGGTCACCATTGTTCATTCTCAAGTCCATGTTTTTCTTGTGTTTTTGAGAGTTTTTTCCTGAGCACACAATTTAGCTGAATTTTCTAACATAGATCTAGCCTCCTCTATTATCTCCAACTCCATGAACTGTGTAAATGCCTAATCAACATAATCACCCGGCCAAATCTGTCCTAGATAAAATTATCTGGCAAAAAGTTTGTCATTGTGTTCACTTACTCTCTTCATGCTAGGATATCACAATGCACAGTATGGAACTAGAATAGCTTTCTAGTTTTCTTGAAGCTTATCAAATTTGTGCATTTTGGTGAGTCCTTAGAAGAAAAATGTAGTAGGAGAGGTGTCAGACATGGATAGCTTATTTCCATTGGGATAAAAAAGCCACAGCATGTCTATAATCCTAGCTACTTAGGAGGCTGGGATCTGAGGATTGAAGTTTGAAGCCAGCCTGGGAAGGAAGTTCATGAAACTTTACCTACAATGGTCAAGGAAATGCCTGGCCTGAGATGTGGCTCAAAAGAAGCCTTGAGCAAGAAAGCCCAAGGTGGGGAAGGCCTTGAGTTCAAGACCCATCCAAAGACTTTCTCCTTTCCTTCTGCCTCTGATTCTTCTTTCTCAACATCCTGCTTTCCAGACCACTATCTTCTTTTTGGTTTCCTTGCTCTTTCTCCTCCACATCTCCTGCTGCCTGTAACCACTTGAGTTTAAGGATCAGCTTCCAATGAATAGACAAAATCCTAAAAACAAGAAGAAAAAATCTTTAAATGTCACTCCCAAGTTTTCTACCTTGTGATGCTGACTGAGGCGTTTTAATTGTATTGACAAAGGGATGTATTGTGCCTCAATCCTTGGGCACCTACTAGTCACTAAAGAATATTCAGATACTCCTGGATTGGAAGGATCAACATCATGAAGATGGCAATACTTCCCAAGGAAATCTACAAATGCAGTACAATACCTACCAATATTCCAATCTCATTCTTCAAGGAAATAGAAGAGGCAATCCAAAAATTCATATGGAACATTAAAAGACCCTGTATAGCAAAAAACGATCCTTAACAGAAAGAACAGTGCTGGAGGAATATCAATACCAAATCTCAAACTCTACTACAAAACCATAATAATCAAAGCAGCTTGGTAATGGCACAAGAACAGACCTCAGGACCAATGGAATAGAATTGAAAACCCAGAAATGAACCCACAGACCTATAGCCATCTAATCTTCAATAAGGGAGCTAAAAAAATAGAATGGAAGTAAAGCAGCCTCTTCAGTAAATGGTGCTTGCAAAATTGGTTAATCACTTGTAGAAAACTAAAGCTATATCCTTATATATCAACCTGTACCAGAATCAACTCCAAATGGATCAAAGACCTCGGAGTCAAAGCAG